TAACAAACTTTTTAAATATGTACAGATGGTATAAAGGACGCTTATCTAATTACAAATCAATTAACACCTCAAGTAGTGTCACGAAAATATTAGTATCAAGTTATAAAGTTTTTAAGTAGAAATTTATTAGCGTGTCTACACGTGGAGACAAGTTCGCTGCGACGATTAAGTGTTGCAATGTCCGGTTTACAAATAATGAAATACTTCTCCCAGATACACAAGTTACATCTCTTGGATGCATTACTGTAAGATTTAGCGCGTTTTAAAATTTTCCATCTGATAGAGTAACTAATATTATTGTTCTTAAGATTCCAGATGTATTTACTTAATACATCATTGGTTTTTATAACCCTACACAAACTATTTTATATATATATATATATATATATATATATATATATATATATATATATATATATATATATATATATATATATATATATATATATATATATATAGCTTTGTTTGGCATATTTATTACTATACAGTTTCGTACCACGTAAATAACGTGGCACTCTTCATATAAAATAGCCTATGTTTGACCTAAAACATAGGTCAAACATAGGCTATTTTATCTGAAGAGTGCCACGTTATTTACGTGGTACGAAACTGTATAGTAATAAATATGCCAAACAAAGCTTGCTAAGTTTTTGTGTCTTTCTATATATATATATATATATATATATATATATATATATATATATATATATATATATATATATATATATATATATATATATATATATATATATATATATATATATATATATATATATATATATATATATGGTTATTATTTATATCATAAAGATTCATGCTTTCAGATTTGCAAACATTAGCAACCTGTCAAATTGTCATGTCTTCACAATAGTTGACCATGCAAATATGGAGTTTTGACATAATATTTATCTGAGTGACACCAGAGCGTTGAATATGATAAAAAGATATTTAAGGGTGGGACGTAATAACGTTGAATATAAAAATCTTATTCAATCTTATGACGCCGTGCAATAGAAATAAGAATGCACAATGTGGAAACATGACCAAAACAATATGACGCCGCCTTCGGCCGTGGTTGCAGTAAATTGCAAGTTTAAAGGAAACAGTTTTACAATATCGAAGACGAAATATTAAAAAAACAGCAACGGAAGGTTTTGGAACATCTTAAGATACTTGTGAAAAAAAAGAAAATATTTGGGAAAAAGAACTGGTCGTTATTTGTCGTAAAAGACGAAGACATTCGTTCGTTCGTTCGTTCGTTCGTTCGTTCTGATCGTTCGTTCGTTCGTTCGTTCGTTCGTTCGTTCATTCATTCGAATTTCATTCATACGTCTTTATTAAAATACAGGGTGTATAAAAAACTAAACAGATTTAAAATTGCTCCCAATTTCGCGTTTTTGGTATATACGGCTTTTTTGGGTATTTATAATGTAGAATAATGAAAAAATTTTCGAACACAAATTTTCTAATTCGGGCGTGTGTGTCTTTTCCGGCAAACCAAACCTGGCTTGCGCACTGGATTTAAACGCTATAATCGTATTCTGAGTTAATCGATGAAAAATCGGTCGGGTGTTTAATTTGTGTTACGTCATGCTTATATCTTTTACGAAATTGATTAAATGT